TGTGTGTGTGTGTGTGTGTGTGTGTGTGTGTTCATGATACCAGCTTGCAGGTGTATATTATATTCACCCTTATGAACATGAATCCGGTTAGGGCAACCTTGCAACTTTACCTTGGTTATAATGATTGTTAGAAAAGACCCCAAGACGGTTCCCAATTTTATCCTTTTGGAGATAGGCGTCAAAGTTAACCACCTCTCGACTAACGAAGAACTGCATTTATATAGTGCATATCAATGCTCTACAGCAGAACGTAGAACACCCAGAATCATTCTCGGCTCCAGGAAAGCATACAGTGCAAATAGGCGATGAAGCACTCAAACACTAAGAAGCAATCTTTCTCTATATATAGCCAGGTTCATTTTCCTAACTTGGTGAAATGAAGCATATTTGTGTAAAGTGCCTTTCCCAAGGACACAAAGTTGGGCCCCTGGCGGGATTTGAACTCTCAAACTTACGGCACGGTTGCGAACCCAGTTTACCCACAAGACTACCGACACCAGAAATGTTCGACTTAGTGCACTTAATACTAAAAATAAGAATGTCCCCATCCATAATGTCCACCTGTCTAAAACAACCGCTTTTATCCTCGACAATGGGTGGCCACTTCGGATAACTTCCACTATACACGTTTTTGAGGAAGGTTGTTGAGTATTCTGATGGTATTTCTCTTGACTTATTTAAAGTCGAAACTAACGGCTACCCTAGGATTACAAAGTTCTATCTGCTCAGTACCCAGTCTTGAGAAATGTGACGTAAAAAAGTTCGAGTTTCACAACATGTCAAGCTTTTTGGTATGCAATTGTTTTAATATCTTGATTACGACTCCAAATAATTTTACCATTTTGATAGAGCAGACGGAGCGTTTCGTTTCTGACCCAATGGTCTTAGTAACCCAAAACAACCACAAATTTCAGATGGAACTTTGCAATTCTATGGGCGTAATATCTTAGCGTGCATCTTGGCAAAATAATAATATGGCTGCTATCATATAGACTGGCACTAAATTTCATCCAATTAATAACTTATCGATTTTCTCCCCAGCATTATTGTGTCTGTAACGAAGGTTTTACGGGGAAAGGAGATGTGTGTATATCACTGGACCCGTGTGCTGTGAATAATGGCGGATGTCATCCAAAGGTAAGGCCTTTGTCTTTTTGTACACTCTTGCATGGTTTCTATTTCTATTTTTGTATACAAACCCATGTTATAATAATGAACGTGTTTGGTGTGTGTGTGTGTGTGTGTGTGTGTGTGTGTGTGTGTGTGTGTGTGTTGT